TGTTCCTCCTTCCTCAGCAGAGCATCTGGTGGATTTGAACCTTGGACCTCTGGGATTGCAGTGTAGTTTCCTGCCACTAGGCCACCAGAGCTCGCCCACACCGGCTTTTTGCCTGGAACTTGATGGCACTCTCTCCTAACCAGGATCCCAGGTTTCCAGACTATGTGACCATGAACAGCTGTCCTGCCAGTGTGCTTCCAGTAGCCCCAGACCACCCCCACTCATACAGAGCCTCTCCTAACACGTCCCATCTGCCCCGAGAACAAGCAGTCATATCTCACCTGGCCCAGTGCACACCCTCCCAGAGCAGGATGACTGAGGGAGCTTGCCAAGAGCTCCCTTTAGGGCCTTTGCTTTTGCATCAAGATTTTGAAATAGGACTAGTGCAGGTTTATGCCACTGGAGCACACGTGCAGGGACGGTCTGCAGGTATGTGTGTGTGTAAGGGTTTGCAGGCAGGGCAGGCACAGGTCTTGAGTGTGTGTGTGTGTGTATAAGGGTTTGCAGGCAGGGCAGGCACAGGTCTTGAGTGTGTGTGTGTGTGTGTGTGTGTGTATAAGGGTTTGCAAGCAGGGCAGGCACAGGTCTTGAGAGTGTGTGTGTGTGTATAAGGGTTTGCAGGCAGGGCAGGCACAGGTCTTGAGAGTGTGTGTGTGTGTATAAGGGTTTGCAGGCAGGGCAGGCACAGGTCTTGAGAGTGTGTGTGTGTGTGTGTGTGTGTGTATATAAGAGTTTGCAGGCAGGGCAGGCACAGGTTTTGTGTGTGTGTGTGTGTGTGTGTGTGTGTATAAGAGTTTGCAGGCAGGGCAGGCACAGGTTTTGTGTGTGTGTGTGTATGTGTAGGCAGAACAGGCACACAGGAGCAAAGTCTGGAGTAAGAAGACCCCGGTGGGCCTGCAGTCCAGGCTCGGCAGCCTGGGCTGAGAACAGCCTGGCCTCGGTGCTGGATTCCCCTGGGGAAAAGCCTTGCTGTGGGTGTGGACCTAGACCCACCCTGTCAGCAAGCTCACATCACCAGGCTGGTCTCCAGCCAACAAAGCCAAATCAACAAGGGCTCTCAAGCTCAAGCCAGATCCTGACGAGATGAGGGCACCACCCGGGAAGGTCTCCTGTGCTGGGCACTCTGCCTGTTACCCCACCTCACCAGCACAGCTGACACAGTATATCTGCCACTCTGCGGGACTTCCACCAGGCCCGCCTGGCTTTGCCTCCTTAAGATTGGTGGCCAGTGTCCCTGATTTCTGAGGTCCCGATGCAGGTGGTGGCCTGGTGCAGACACTGGTCACCTGGGCAGTAGGTGTGGTTCCTCAGGCTTGTTTATCGAAACGTTGAGACTGAGGGTTCACTGCCAACAAGAGAAGTTTCCTTGATGTGAAGATTGTCTTTGCTTAGGTGGTGGAAAGTTCTGTCTGCACCTTGCTGCTTCTCAGAGGATCGGGTGAAAGCCTGGTTGGAACAGGCTGCCAGGAGGTGGGCTTGTCCCTGCAGCACGGGTCTCATTCCAGAGTCGGGGTCCCTGCAGCAACCCCAAAAGGGTGCTCCAGTTGGTCTTTCAGTGGGGTGCTCTGCTGTTTTACTTTGTAGTCTGGATCAGAGAAGGATGGTCTCTGAAGTCTTCCCAGGACAAGGGACCCCAGACAAGGACTCTGCTTTGTCCTATGGTGGGAATCCCCATGGGCACAGACTCTTCTAGAAACTTGCTCTGAAGTGCCTCACTTTTGAGCTTTCTCTTCAGAGCTGGTCATCAATTACTTGTGTGATGTGTAAGCATTTTGTTAACTTACATCAGGACAGAACCTGTAGCATGTGACTTGTCTCTGGCCCTTCTCAATCTCTATGAACTTGGGAAGTGGCCTGCCATCGCTAGGTGTCAGCTATTAAGACTCATCATGACTTTCCGTACAACTGGACAAACCCTGCTGGCTCCTGAGCCGTCCTCACATTTTACAGCCGCGGATCAGTCCATCTCAGGGGTCCTGTGCTGTCGTCCCTGAGGTGAGTCTCACCATCTCCCTTCTAAGCAGCATTCGCTGCCCTTCTTCCCAGATAGGTCTGCTTCTCCTGGAAGTCCACAGTCGTCGACCCGATTTGCTAGTTTGTAGAGAACAACATGGAGGAGTCTCTGAGCTTACTGAGTAACAGAGATGGCCCAGACTGGACAAAGGCCTTACTGTCAACAGCAAGGAAGCCCCCATCCCACCAGACCACAAACCGGGATCCATTGGTGGTGTACTGAATCAGGCACTACAGATTAGAGAGTCCAGAACTCACTGGAAGAGCAGGGAGTTAAAGACAGGCTATCCAGAAGCCAAGAACTTGGCAGCAATCGGTCTATGAGATGGAAGGGGATACACGTCAAAGGTATGTGCCATTCAGTTTATTATCAGTGGTCCCAAGATAGGACACAACTAGTTTTGTTTTGTTTTTTTGTCACAGGACTCTTTCTGGATCATGCGTTCCTGCAGAATCATGGTAAAGATTTAGATAATGCTGTATCTCTACACCCATCTTGGATCTGTTTGTCAATAATGACAAGTCCCACAGATGAGACCTCAGGAAAAGGATGTAGTCCTTCAGGGCAGACCAGGATTAGAGGGACGGCTGTTTCCAAGAATCCAACATGGATTCCAGACTCATGCCAAGAGGAAGCGGAGGCTTCGCTTTCACCCTGTCCTGTTAACACACCAACCCAGGGGCCCTGGTTTTAGATTTGTGTGCAAACATGTCATAGTTCAAAGGTTATAGGGTCTTCAGCAGATTTTCCTTCTTGTTGCCCAGGCTTCACTTGTACGCAGCGATGGGAAATGCCATGGCATGGGCCAGGAACGCCGAGTCCTCACGGTGACCTTTGTAAAGAGGACTTGTGCAGTGGGTTTGACCAGCGCGATGCCTCATTAGATTTCTTGATTACACTTTCCATGGGTCAGTACCCATTGTGGATCCAAGTAAAATGAAATTGTTGTTGACTTCAACCTTTTCTGTTTTCTATTATGTTGTTTATTGGCCTATTTGGGAGGATTTTTGTTTTCGTGTGTGTGTGTGTGTGTGGTCAACTCAGATCTGACTGGCACAGGAGATTGTCCCGCCTTCTCCAGCAGAGCACCTGGTGGATTCGAAGCATGTGCCTCCAGGCCACCAGAGCTCCCAAGAATTTTGTTTCCTTGATACTGAAGCTCCATATTGAAAGCTATAGATTCTGGACTTCTACAGTAAGTCCTCTTCACTTTCTGCAAGAGGTTGTATCATTTGCATAACACAGTGAGGCTGTTGAGAGTCTTCTTCCAATTCTAATGCCCCATTCTTCTTCCTATAGTCCAGGTTCTCAGATTATTTGCCCAGCATACAGGTTAGGCAGGTCTGATAAAAAGACACAACCTTAGTACACACCATTTCAGCTTTTAAAACCTGCAGTGTCTACACTCAGGTTCCCTGTGAGCGCAACTGAGTGGTCTGGGGCTCCCCTGCTTTGCAGTGCTACCATGATCTGTTATGACTCATCGTGACCCCGTGTGCAGGGCTGGGCTTTGGAAGAATGTAGTCAGGCTTGGCAGGAGACACAACCACCTGCATTATGCAGATGACAACTTTCCTGAAAGTGAAGACTTGAAATGCTTGTTGGAGAAGATGCAAGACTTGAGCCTTCAGTATGGGTCACATCTCAACCTCAACAAAAATCCTCACCACTGGGCCAGTGAGCAACTCCATGATAGATGGGGGAAGACTGAAGTTGTCAATGATTTCACCTTTATCCACAATCAATACCCTTGGCATCAGCAATCAAGCAATCAGAAGACATACTGCCCTGGGTAAGTTGGCTGTCATGTGCCTCTCTAAGGTGAACAGTGTCATCAGACTAAGGTGCATGGGATTCAAGCCATGGTCTGTTCAATTACTTTATGCTCTTTGCCGCATTCCATCTTCTCCCCTGGCCAAGGAATGTCATTTGGGAAGCTGAAAGGGTGGGAATAGGGGTTTCCTTGGAGAGAAACTTAGCGAAGATCCAAATATTGTCATAGCTAAGAGGGATGCCACAGCCAATGACATGACTAGTGAAGCCATGGCTCGTGGTCCCAACAAACATCTCAGCTGTGGAGAAGCTCCAAAGCATTGGATGCTGGACAAACTTACGGGTGTATTTGCTCCTCGTCCATCTACTGGTCCTTACAGAGAATGTTTGCCATTGATCATTTTCTTAGGAAACAGGCTTAAGTATGCTCTGACAGAAGGTGAGGTTCCAGTCTTACCATGCCTGTGGCAATGAATAATAGAGACTGATTTGTATTCCACAGCAGTCAGAATGGAATACTGGGCAGCTGGCAAAAGGCATAAAGAGTTCTGCCTGGCTCTGCTGACCTTCTGCGACAATTGTGAAATGAAATGTGTGGACCGCCTTACATCCCCCCATCCTGGGCCTGAGAGACACCTGTAGTGCAAGAACTATAGACACTCGGGGGATTCTTGGGGCTCAATTCTAAGGGTTAACATGGTGACAGTGAAGGCCTGTGCAGAGGTAGCAGGTGGAGTCTGTCTAGTGGACGTCTTTAGGGTAAGGGGGTTTCTGAACTAGGGCTTATTCCGCAGGGTTTCAGACAACTGGTAACATGGGATGGTGGCCCCATCCTTGCTGAGAGGGCTGTCCCAAACATCTTCACATGTGTCACCACAGTAGACCCTGGTGACTTGGAAGCATGCAGTAAGCTTGGTGCAAGCATAGAAAAATGTCTCTTCATAGTAAAGTGGACTAGGGTGGGGGTGGGGAATTGTACAACAATGAAAGAATTTTCAAAGAAAAGCAAGTAGGGGGAGGGGGCTGGAAGGGAAATGTGCAACAGTAAATGCATCCAAGAAGAGAAGATGCTCTTATGATAAAAACAAAAGGGGGAAAATATGGGAAGCCAAACTTCATACCAAATATTGTATGAAAACCCTTGTTCAGGAACTGAAGGAATTACAAATTTTAAGTTAGGATTTCTCTTGTGACAGATCACAGAAAATGAGCTGTTTGTTCCCTACAGACAAGAGACAGCTAGGGCCCCACTACAGAGGGAGTGCTACTGTGTATGAAATACTTCCTGAGCTAGACCATTAGGTTGACAATACAGAAAAATTCTGCTTCATTTACAAGGAATTCTTTTTAAGACTTGCTTCCCCAGATTATCAACAAATACACAGAGAGGCATGGCTTGAGGTGCTTCAGTGGAGAACTGCTGGTCCTGTTTTTACTGTTTTATCTCAGTCGTCTTTCTCATTATTAATAATTATAAAAATACTTTACCCTTGGTCTGCAACAACTTTCTATGCATCTAAAAGTTGGTCAATGACTAAGGATGCCAGAAGAATTGATGCCTTTGAGCTGTTGTGGTACAAGTGCTGCATATCCTATGGATGGCCAAAGAACAGATAGGTCTTGGGAGTGCAGCCAAGGTGTTGATGCTGAGACAGCTCACTGAAGAGGTTAGACGTTCATCCTTGGAAGACACTATGTTGGCAAAGGTCTGCAGGTCAGTAAGACCCTCAACGTGATGGGTCAACACGGCCTGAGGACGTCAGAGACGATGACGACGGCACAGGATAGTCCAAGTTCAGACCCGTCGTTCATAGGACTACTGGTCGTGGCCAAGGGGGCACCACCCATTCACTTAGTGGGACACAAAGACCTTGGCCAGGAGCTTTATTCTCACCCCTTACAGACCCGGTAGTGCCCTCAAGGTGCCAGGTCCTGTAGGAGGTCCTTGGAAGGAGGCGCCATGGGTGCAATGACCACATTGGGTATTTGCTGTACACCTCACAGCTGGGCAGCAGGGGCAGGTCAGGGGTTTGATAGCAGGCTGGATGGTGACCCTCCCCCCATGGCCATTCTGAGGGCTGAGATGTAGCACCTCCATGTTTGCCTGGCCCTGGCGCTTGGACACTCAGCACAGGGACCTCAGGTCGAACATCCGACTTTAGGATGTAGGTGATCCAAGCGCGTGGACATGAGGAGCTGGGGTGCCAGGGCTCCTCACGTCCAGGTCAGCCCCATGGGACCTTCCAGGCTCCCCCGTTCCCTACCCCACCCGCAGTGATACAGGTGGGGTTCTTGGTGGCCCTAAGGCTCAGGTGCCCACACTTTAAGCCACACCCACTAGAGCAGCCTCCTTTTAGGGACACAGCTGGGATCCCTGCATGTCTCCAAGGAAAGCAGCTTTCAGTGGTGATCATGGGGCCCACTGGGAGGCTTGTCTGGGCCCTGCTCATCCTTGAATCTGACCATCACCATTCAGGGGCCCCCCAGGCTATCAAAAGCATCATCAGGAGAGCATTGGTCAGGGTCACTGATGAGACCTACCAGTGGACACAGTTAGGGCCACCTTCCTGCCAGGGACACACGTGATCCTTGGAGCAATCAGCCCTTCCGGATTGAGGGCTGTGCAGGTCGGAGGGATGTTGTTATGTGCCTTCAAGTCGCTTGCGACTCATAGCGACCCTATGTACAACAGCCCTAAACTCTGCTCTATCCTGTGCCAAACCGCACTGTCTCTGAGACTCCCATCCCGATTATCCCAGTCACTGAATCAATCCACCTCATCGAGGGTCTTCCCCTTCTGCGCTGTCCCTCCACTCTCCCAAGCACGATGTCCTATGGTCGGAGGGACAGGCACTGAAAACAGATGTGTGACTACCAGGGAGGCAGAGGGCGGGTGCCTTTGCACTGCTGAGCTATCAGACAGCGACCAGCATGTCCAGACGGTGGGGGAGGGAAAACCTCACCCACTTACAGCTTATCCACCAGGCCCCACGCTAGGGTCAGCAGCTCACGCAGGCCAGGTGACCAACGTGGTCACTTCCCAGGACAGGTTGAGCTGCAGCTCTGGGGTGGGACGAGGGCACAGGCTCACCAGAGGCCCCCTTCTCAGGTCATCTCACGCTCGCTCGGCTCAGGGTGGAGAGGTGGAGGCAGGCCAGGATGGGTGGTAGAATTTTAACTTTATTTGGCCAATGTGTCAATTCCAGGATTGGGTACATGTCTGCAGAGCTGCCGGCCCTGCTGCCAGAGTGAATTAAGGTCCTGTTTGCCTCACAAGATGGATGGGCCGGTGCTGCAGGGGAAGGGTCATCACTTGGGCTGGCCCTTGGCCTACTGCCCATGATACGACCATCCTCTGCCAGAGACCTTAAGTCTCTTTTTAACCAAAAAATATAGAACCCTGCTCAGTCATGGCTGGACTGGCCCAAGGAGACATAGCCACGGCTAGGCCAGGCTGTCCCGTCCCCACAGGGGAACAGGTTCCCCGGGGCCTGGCCAGGGGACACATCCTGACACCAAAACATGTTTAGGGATCCCACAACTGGGCTCCTGGAAGGCGGGGCATCCTCTGCGTGGGAGATCCAAACACGTGGGTGCATCACAGGGGAGACGGGTCCATCCGGGCGAGGAGCCCCCAGCGGGGCAGGCGGTGTTAGAAGCGTCAAGAGTCCCGGGCTGTGGCTGCTGACCCCACCCCCACAGGGGCCCAGGCTGCCGAGACGCTGCCCCTAGAGCACACCCGAGTGTGGGTGCCTGGTGTCCAAGTCTCCTGCCACCTCACAGCTCGTCTTTCACGGCTTTCTGGTCATCGTCCTCCTCCATGTCGGGTTCCTCAGCCTCCTCCAGGTCCTCGAGGTCCTGTGCCAACAAGTGGGAGCTCTGTGAACCTCAGGGTGACCCACCCTTTGAGCTAACGGCTGAGGTGACCTCTGCCATCAGGCGCTCCCTCTTGCCCCCAGGGGAGACAGCATCCTAAGCCATGTCCAGTACAGACCACATGCCTGACAGTCCCAGGAACACCGCACCACGTGGGCTTAACCCCTTGCTGCCCACAGCCTAGAGACCCCGGGCCAGTGGAAGGGACACTTACATCCTCGTCCCCAGCACCATCCTGCCCGCCACTCTCCAGGAACTTCTTAAAGCCTTCCAGCGTCCGCTCTCCGTTGTAGTCAATGACCTGTGAGACAGCAGGGTGAGCCCCCAGCACAGCCACTGCCCAGCCCGGGGAGGGCACCCCCACCCCCGGAGGACACGCACCGTCTTGTCTGCACTAGCAGGGAAGAACTTGAGTGTGGGGAAGCTGTGGACCTTCACTGCTTCCACCTCGTTGGCCGTCGAGTCCATCTTGGCAATGACAATGTTCTCATGGTCTTTGTAGGTCTCTCCCAGTTTGTCCCAGATGGGCGCCAGCTGTTTGCAGTGACCACACCATGGGGCATCTGCAGGGGGAGCAGCAATGGTTGGTGCCCAGGGCTCCCGCACAAAGGTGCCTCACATGGCCCTGCTGCCCCAGGAACGGGGAGCACTCACAGAACTCCACAAAGACGTTCTTCTTTTCATCAAACGCAACCTCCTCGAAGTTCTTCCCGACCAGCACTTTGACTGGCTGTTTGTCCCAGTCCTCAGGCAGCTCCTGGCTCATCAGGTGGGGCTGTGGACAAAGGACCCCTATCACTGTGACGGTCAAGGGGTCTCCGGAGGCCCAGGAGCTCCAGAACCCACGAGGATGCAGAGCTCGGGCTGAGAGGTCCAGCCCCCGTCAGCAAGCGGCTGTCCCCAGGCGCCTTCCACACTGAAGGGGACACGGCACAGAAGTCTTCACCTTGATCTTGCCTTCCAGGAACTGGTCGCAGAACTCCTTGATCTTGTCGGCCGTCAGCTCGTCCGACGCTGGCTTGTACTTGGTCATCTCCTCCTCCAGCGTGATGAGGCGCACGGCCGGGCACTCCTCCTTCTTGAGGCCGAAGAACTCGAGGATGCGCTGGTTGTCGGCGTGGTCGCTGTCGATGAAGATGAACAGGATCTGGGGAGACGACACAGCCATGAGACACTGTGGGGCATCCATGGGGCAGCAGGGACAGGCTCCGGGCAAGCTGTCCCGCCCTCCCAGCTGCCCTGGGGGCCCTCTGGCACACCTTGCCCTTGAAGCTCTCTGCCGCCTTCTTGAAGTTACCCAGCTTGGCATCGTAGTCAGACACGCTCTTGGGCAGGAACAGTAGGATGTGAGTCTTGATCTCACCTCCAAAAATCTTCGGAGCCGTCTGCATGGGAAATGGAATCAGATGTGAGCTGTGGGCTGGCTGTCAGCACAGGGAGCCCACCCCCCTGGCCAGCTCCCGCCTGGCCCACCTGCTCCGTGAACTCGATAACCAGGGGCAGCTGGTTGTGTCTGATGAAATTGAGGAGGTTCTCCTTGGTCACCTCCCCCTCAAAGTTGTTCCGACCTTCATCAAACTGAGGAGAGAAAAGAGCGTCAAGAGCCACGCACCCAGGCCCGCAGCTCCAGTCCCTGTCTGAGGGCTCTGGGCCATGCTCACGGCCAGCACGTAGGAGGAGCGCACACTCCACACCGCGGGCCACCCCAAGACCACGCGTTTAAAACAGCAATCCAGGGGAGCTCTGGTGGCCTAGTGGTAGGGAGCTGCAACTACAATCCCAGAGGCGCACGGTTCGAATCCACCAGATGCTCTGCTGGGAAAGGAGGGACAATCACCTCCTGTACCAGTCAGATCTGATTTGACAGTACACTTACACACAAAAAAAATAATAAAAAAACAAAACAAAACAACCAGCATCCGGTCCAAGCGGGGCAAGGGTTTCCGAGATCCCTGTCCTGGGACGATGCCAGGGCCTCGTGTCACGTGGGTCTTCTACGGCCAGTGCTGGGGGTGGGTGAGGGGGACCAGGACTGCCACGGGCTTGGGCATGAACATGACATGACGGAGACCACCCTTCACAGCTCAGCGTGTCCAACGGTTCTTCAAGTGGCCCCTTCAGAGGTCACAGCAGTGCCCAGAGCACGGTCCCCATCACCTCAGGAGCACAGCACTAGGTGGACCGTCTACAACCCCGGCGCACAAAGCCCTCCAGGGCTGCTGGCACACAGTCGCTCCTCCGGGTAAGGCTCTTTCTCAGGAAGACATGTCACATAGGCCATCCAAGTTCAACTACAGATTTCTCCCTATCCCAAGCAAAGGACTCAACTATCATTCTGAAGGCTACTGGACCCAAACCCTGAGCCCACAGTCCCCGAGGAGTGCAGCTGGGACTGGCTACTGTTAAGGTTAAGACAGTCCCGGATAAAGTACATGGAAATATAGGACAGAACTCACATGTCCCAACCACCTGGGTCAGGGGCTGGACAGACATGAGGAGCCCGAGACCAGGGCGGCAGCCACTCTTCACATCAGACTTCACACACTCAGCCTTGCAACGTGCCACCAAGTTGCCTGCGCCTCAAACTCACAGGGACCCCCGTGTGCAAAAACTCTCAACTCTGCTCTATCCTGAGCTAATCTCACTTTCTCTGACACCTAGTTACTCAGTCAATCCATCCCATCCAGGGTTTTCCTCTCTTGCTCTGTGCCTCCACTCTCCCAAGCATGATGTCCCTCTCCAAGGACTGGTCCCTCCTTGCAACATGTTCAAAGTAAGTCAGACAAAGCTTCAGAATCCTTGCCTCCAAGGAGCAGCCTGGCTTCACCCTCTCCAGAACAGACTGTTTGTTCTAGCAGTCCATGGAATATCCAATACTCTTCTCCAGCACCACAGCTCAAAGGCATCAATTATATCATCCTTAGTCACCATCTAGCTCTCTGATGTATAATACGTAATCGCGAAAACCATGGACTGGATCAGGCACACCTTAGTCTCCATACTGACATTGTCTTCAGTATGGAGAGGACCCCAACAGCGGACTTTCCCAATGCCATTTGTCTTGTGACTTCCCGACTGCTGGTACCAAGAGTGTTGATTGTGGAGCCGAGGGCTCAACTTCAGGCAAAACAGACACAGACCTGCCAGGTGAGCACACCAGATGGCAATGGCAAGCAGCACCAGCTCCTTGGAACCAATCACACGAGATCAAAAGGACAAAGTTGAGAAGGCAGGAAGAGGGAGAAGAGATGGTAATCACAGGGACGAAGTGGGAAGTGCGAGGCTACAGAACAGAATTAAACATCAGGAAACAAACTGCTTCTGAGTCACCAGATGGAAGACTGATTCTCTCTAGAACCTTCCACCCAAACCGCCCATGTCAAACTAGATTAACCTCCCGCAAAACTTCACAACCTCTTACAGACCGTAAGTGGTCACGTAACATTTGTGGCCCTGACGGGGTTGAGATGTCCCTGGTCTTACCACGACCACCACTGTTAGTCACGGTAAGGTGACTGTTAGAATCCACAGACGGAGGCCAGCAGACCCCTCGCAGGTGGGCACTGGTGAGGTTCAGCAGACACTGTCCCTCTGGCAATGGAACAAGAGCATGGCCTCAGAGAGGAAGCAGGCCTGCTGTGGCCTCAACGGCAGAGCACAAACGACCGCAGGAAACATTAGCTCAACGTGCCCACACTTCCTCCCAGAGCTGCTCCGGTGGGCACAGGGAGGACGAGGGCTTAACCCCTTATGAGAGGTCCTGAGAGAGCGGCCATTACCCTGCCCTCTCCTGTTCCCTGTCCATGCAGGACAGCCCTGTTGTCTATGCCCTGGTCACTCCAAGTGGGCACAAGCACCGCCAAGCCTGTCCAGTGTCCCGCTCCAGTACTGGGCCAAACTGGTGATTAGCGGAAGAGAGACCACACCCCAAGCTACGTGCAGTTCCCACACCTGACCCTTCCTAGAGCACTCTAGAAAGAAGGTGGTGTCACAGGGCAGAGCCAGGCTGACAAGAGTGGCCCCCACTGCCACAGGGCTGCAGCAGGCAGTGAAGCCAACATCAGAGCAGATGCCACTCAGGAAGGACAGCAAGCCTGTGCGTGTGCCCTCAGCGCGTGAGCCCTCAGCCCTCACTGGGCACACCCTTCCAGGCCCTGCTCTGGTCCCAGAAAGGCTGGTGGCGGAGGGTCAGGGCCTCCCGTTCACAGGAGCCCAGTCCCACCTCTGCTACGCCCTCTCCTGGTAGAACCACAGAACGGTCTTATCAGGAAGCAAAGTCCAAAGCTGTGACCCCTTTGCACAACACACACCCTGGCAGCCAGGAGCTGTCCCGACCAGTACAATCAGCAGAGAAAACTCACACAACCACCCCTGAAAAACCCTGCTGGCCCAAGTGAGACATGTCCATCCCAGGGGCCTGGGGCTTAATGACAATGGGACAGACAAGCCAGGATGTCAGGTCCGCAGGCCTCAGAAAGCAGGGAGACGTGGAGACCTGAACTTCACACAGTGGCTACTGCCCACACGCCCCTCTCCCGTCTTTGGCACCTTCTGTGATGACAAAGGCCAAGGGAGGAGTGGGAGCCCTCACTGGCAGTACCTGAAGTGCAGTGTCAGACCTGTGGGTGCGCTCTCCTCTCCCACCACAGCCTGGCACGTGCCACCAGGCTTCTCCGCACAAGGCACCGTCCACCCCCACCCCCAGGACAGCCAGATCCCAGAGGCCAAGGAGCGGTCAGCTGGCCCTGCTATGTGGCAGCTGCTCTCCAGGTAGGGGGAGCTCACACACCCCCTCTCTGCTGGAAAAGCTGGGCTGCCAGATCCAGGTGTGACCTCACTCACCTCTCCCTTGCCATATGCCACCACGTACACAGAAAGCTCTGCCCCTGACCTGAAGACGAACACCAGAGCGGACAGCAGCCTCTCTGAGGACGCCACGGGGCTTCATGGGGCTGGGCTACGCAGGAGCCAAGAAGTGGCCCCACCCCGTGTGCACCATGCCCTGACCACCCAGGGCATGCACATCCACCTTAGGCTGCAACAAGGGCTCTGTGCAGCGCTACCAGGCGGCAGTCCAGGGCCTCCAGGGAGCAAGGTTCTCCACACCCTCCAAAGCCCTCACCTTCTTGAAGAGCACAACCCCGTCCTCGTGAAGCTGATACTTGGCGAACACGTCACTGTTGGAAGTGATCCCAAACGGGACGTCATCGACAGACTCTGCCGCCAGCAAAAACTGCTTGGCAAAGTCCGAGTCCACGTCCTAGGAGAGGAGGGAGAGGGTGACCTCTCAGCCTAGCACCAAATGGCCATGTGGGTCCAAGCTTTGGTCAGGGAGTACAGGGGAGTCCAGGGACAAGAGTGGAAAGCAAGAGGGGTCACCTTGACTCACCTTGAAGAAGCCAATGACGGCCACCTCGCTGGACTCTACCAAGGACTCAGCGGCCATACCATCGGCCAGAGTGGTGGCAGCCGGGCCCGTGCGCTTCTTCAGCCAATTGACGATGTCGTCTGCCTCTCTGCCAGCTGCACCCAAACAGAATCCAGCTGAGGCCCATCCTCGAGCCCACCTGTGGTGGCGAGCACCTTGGCAGCCCTCCCTCCCCACCGACCTCAGGAGAGGAAGGAGGTGCAGAGTAAGCACTTCTCCCCGAGACTTTTCACCTCTTAACTGTGCGCCTGCACACGCGCGCGCGCGCACACACACACACACACACACACACACACACCTCCCACCCCTCTGGAAGGCTCACGTGTGCCCAGTATGCGCGCTCACAGCTCGTCCCCCGGAAGTCCCGTGAGCACAGTCTCAAGGTATTCTACTACTACTAGAACATCGGGGGTTCAGGGCCACCAGCCACTTCATAAGAGCAAGGTGGGCAGCTCCCCTGCAGAGCTTCAGCCTTGGGAACCTGGCAGATGGTCCCACACACTTCAGGACTGTTCCAAGGCAGTGAGTTTGGGGTTCTAGGTGGGGAACACTCAGAGACCGCCTTCATGACCCTAGGGAAGTGGTCTCAGACAGACAAGGCAGTTATTAAGCTGACATCCAGGCCAGTGCAGCATCCCATCCAGAACTGCTGGGAGTTAGGAGTCCTTACACACGTGCAGCAGACATCAACGGCAGGTGGCCTCCCCCAGCCCCTGCCTGACCACATTCCCCTCCTATGGTCTGGCAAGCTGGTACCACCAGGGAGGGTACCAGGTCTAGGGTTCACCAGCTGGGAGTGGGCGTGGGAGATGTCCCACCTCAGAAGCGGACTCTGAACCAGCACTTCCTGCTCTAGAAGCACAGAGACCACGCAGCACTGGGGGGGCATTGAGAACTGTTCTCCCAGACAGCGGGCAACAGCCCTTCCCGGCTGCCAGCCCCCCAGAACCACCACTGACTGCTCAGAACCTTGCCACCTCTCCCGGCTGGTTAGTATCAAGCCTCTCCTCACGCCAGGGGTCTCCAGAGATGACGCAACAGCGTCCCACCCGTGGGGGGGCTCTTCCCGAACAGGTAACTGCTTGCGAGACCTTAAGACCTCAGCAGGAGCCGAGGGTGCGGGCAGGTGCTCCCCGCACGCTCTCCACCTGGCTGAGTGAAGACAGAGTGAGACCACCGCTGTGCTTTCTGGGAGAAGTGGGTCTCACCTGTGTATTCTTTGGGAGAAGCCGTGTCTCCGTTCTTGAAGAACTTGATGGTAGGGTAGCCACGGACACCATACTGCTGAGCCAGCTCTGACTCCTCGGTGGCATCCACCTTGGCCAGTCTGATCTCGGAGCCTTCAGCCTTTAATTTGCCAGCAGCTTTAGCATATTCAGGAGCCAGGGCTTTGCAGTGACCACACCAAGGGGCATCTGAAAGAGAAGGTCAAAGACCAGAAAGCCATCATGGCCCCTGCTCCTGGGTCCTTCCTTCAGATAAGTCTTATCTCCAGCCGATAACCCCACTGTAACTGCGGGGAACTTGGGCAAGAGCAGGGCAGAGGCCACGGGGGCCCAGGCAGTTAACCATTAATGACCTCCCTCCCCACAGCCAACAAGGCAGCAGCCAGTTCCAAGCCTGGGTGTGGGCACACCCGAGCAACACGGGGTCCTGGAGCTGCTGGTCACACAGCCCTGAGGCCGGGCAGCGGGTGGCCACCACCATCCTCCCCACTGCTATGGAGATGCGGTCGATTAGGGGCTGTGGGAGGACGCCAGCCACGCCGGGCAGCGAGCTGCTGTGGACACTGGCCACTGAGACTTGACAGGTCTGGGCTGGAGCCACCCTCACAACGGCCTCCAGCTGAGTGTCCACCCACAGGCCGCGTAGAAGAGCAGGAAGGGCAGGGATCCACCCTCTCCCTCTCTGAGAGCGGCCTGGGACAAGTCTGAGCTGCCCCAGGGGGCCGTGCTGACCAGCCTGTCCAACCCGGGGCTCCCGCATTGACCCCTCCTTGGGGCTGAGACTCCCCTACGGTCCCTCCCCAGGGCTCCCCCGTTATTGGCCACTCTCCGGGGTCCGGGTTCCCCCACTACTGACCCCCTCTCCGGAGTCAGGGCTCCCCCACTACTGACCCCTCTCCGGGGTCGGGGCTCCCCCACTACTGACC